CCTCAATAAAAGGCCCAGCCTAATCAGCCTCAGTGAAGTTCACAGTCATCATCCTACCCACAAGCTCAGGATGTAACCACTCTGAAATAATCCCATATCAATAGTCTCAGAGAGAGAAGATATTGCACCCTGAAACAAGGGTGATTTTTTAATTCATAGGAAAAAAATTCTTGGAATTAAAAGTTTGAAGGCAATATTAACTAGAAACTGTAAGGTAAAGATGAAGAAAGCTACAAAATAAATAAAGATGGAAAACAGAAAAGGGAAATCAGAGAACCATTCAAGAAATTCAATTGCAAATAAAATGATTTCTAGAATAATAGAACAGAGACAATAGGAGTAAGAGGAGAATAAATAACTCTTTAAAAATCTCAGCACTGTAGCTCATGAGGGCGGAATGTCCACAGTAATACAGGATAATAAACCTAAATCAAGGACTTGATTATTGTAAAATTTCTTATAGAAAAAAAAAAATCAGGAATCTGAATGGCTTTGACTTTCCCAAAAACAAGCTTCAGCGCTAGAAGACAAACAGAAATACTCTCAAAATTCTGAAGGAAAATTATTTATCATCTACAATTCTGTGCCTTGCCAAATTATCAAGTATTTTTATGAGAATATTTTCTTCACACACACAAGGTATGAAAACCACTGATGTCCTATATACCATTTAAACCAAGAAGGGGAAGGCCTGGGTACAGGTCATCTGTAACTCCAAGTAGTGCTGGGGATCCCCAGGATGGTGGTGAAAGAAGACAGGAAGAGAGTACTGTCCAGACACAGAGCTGAGAAGGGAGCAGACAGGGGCTCCAGGAAAGATCTACTGAAGATAATGAATCAGTAGAAACCTGATGTCAAATACATTAAGAAAAGACTGGGGTAATCAACAGAAAGTCAACAGATGTCTGAGAGACAAGTATATAGAAAACCAAGTTAATTTGGGGCAGTATGGGGAGCAAGACAATTCTAGGGAAAGTTCAAAGTCAAACAGGGTAAACAATGTATATACTATGTGGCTACATTATGATTAACATTTAGGGAGTTATTAATTATGTGAACAGTAAATACCATCTAACCAAAATTTTGGTATTGTTTTATTAGGGAGATCATGGGAATTGGGGCACAGAATGTAAACTGGGACACAGAGGTCAAAGAACTAAATTCTCAGGCTCTATAGGAGGCGGGCTACAAGAAGGGCCTAGCATTGGTTAGGTCAAGAAGTAGCAAGAAAGTACCACTCAAGTGGTTTAGAGAGATGGATTAGTGAATGTCAGAAAGAATGAGCTAAGAGTCAAAAATGGTACCCTGCGAAGCAAGGAAAGGGAGTGGGGCAGGAAGGGACTCATGTCTACATCACAAGTCTTATAGACCTATTTTAGTCTTAAACTGTGTACGCAGACTGTGATAAAGTCAAGAAGTTTTACAAAAAAGAAAACAAATATGAATGCTTATGCCCCTTTCCTAAAAAAAAGACACAATTTTGTACTTGTCTTTAGGGACTTTCTTGGACTAGTGGTAGGGATCCCCAAACCAACTATGCTCCAAGGAGCACAAAGAATCTATGGTGCTATTTCACACCATTTCCACCCCAACTGCCCAAAGAACCTTCAGGAAGGATACTTGATCGTGCCCCAGTTGTCATGGGATAAATTGGACCCAGCTTCATTCCAGGTATGTAAATAGATCCATACGTCAATCATGTGAGCTGATTTTGTGCTTTGCACTTGAGAGGCAATGGAAAGCAAAATTAAAAGGAACTATTCCAAATTAAGGATTGTTTTTTACACAGAGGCAGATGCTGCCTGAATCCCAAATATACCATATAAGGTCTAAGTCTAGATTATTACTGAAATTAAGTGGAGTGAGTCAGAATTTGTATACCCATCTCTCCCCAGTGCCCCCTGAATTATGATCTTCTCTTTTTATCTAAATTTGCTGTCAGCATTCTCATGTATAAACTGAGGGGGTTCTGGACAGGAAACTATCGCTTAGTCCTGAAGTATTTTAAGACTTTTCAAGCTTATATGACACTGCTATTCCTTATGAGTCTTTAAAATGAACCAGAGGCGGGCCTCCCCGGTGGCGCAGCGGTTGAGCGCTGGGTTGCGAAGCTGCCCGCAGCCTCTGCGGCGCCGGTTCGATCCCCGGCTGCTCCCCGGCCACCGGAGGAGGGTCCCACATGGCGCGCAGACCTCTCCTGCCGCCCGCTGCTCCCCTCAGCAGTGTACTTCGGTCCTTCTGCCTGCCTGCTCTGCTCCCCACTCTGGCTCTGGTGAATTCTCTCACCCTCCCGCGCTTCTGACTGTACCCAGTGCATGTATAAACAAAAACAAAAAACAAACAAATAAATAAATAAATAAACAAAAATGCCTCTATTAAAAAAAAAAATTTAAAAAAAAAATTAAAAAAATAAAATGAACCAGAGGCTATAGCTTTTAATAAAAAGTCACTTGAAGCTGTATCACGTGAGGCAAACAGGCTTAGAGTTCAAATAACAATGTCTATGAACTAACTTTTACCTTCCAAATCAGCATAATTTCCTTTGCTAGAAAACCATCACAGAAAGGATTTGGGTTTCTCTTTAATCTACTTACAAACTTACTTCTACATTAACTATACCTAAAACCCCCTTAAGTCTCTGGTCTGGGAGAGAGGAGAGCTGTCTCAACAAAGCACAGAATTCAATGAGCAGTAACAAATGCTGTAAAACCAAGACTTTGCTTTTTATGCGTCTGTGAGCTTGGCTGTGGAAAAGAATCTGGGATTATCAAAAAAGGAGTTCAGGAGGGTGTATCCCAATAGGAAGTGTCATTCAGTGGCCCCATATCTGGCTTCTTGGCCTGACTTGGCCAGAACTTGCTGTCAGGGTGGAGAGTGTAGCTCTATGTCCAAGGTCAGCCATGGCACAGAGGCATGTGGCAAGTGTCTGTGGGTAACTAGTCCCCATCAACTCCTCAAGGCAACACAGAGTCTTCCTGGAGTTCTTCCCAGCCCATTCCCAGCATACGCATAAGCTGCCAAGACCCTAAGGCATCAGTTATGCGGGAGACTGGAAGAAGTTGTAGGAAATGTGAGATCAAGATCTGAACGTGAGTGCTTCTGTGACAAAACTATTTACTCCAAAATGCAACTCTGCTAAGAGCTGTCCCCTCGGGCACTGTGTGAGCTGTTCATGAGCAGTCCTAAACCGATTCACAGATGTCTGGATAGCCTCAAAATCATTATACTTACGAGTCTTATTTTCTCTTTCATGAGAAATAGATGTCACTCAAAGTTGTTAATGAGGAACAATAATTTGAGAACTCAAAGGCCCACCGTCAACCTCTCCTAAACATTTGCTTCGAATTGTGTGATTTTTCTGTGCTAGACACAAAAGGGTTCATGTCTCTCTTTATGCCATAATCTAAAACAAATCTGAGCAGCATTAGAAGTGAAGCTTCTCACGAGGACTAAGATACGATTTCTCAAAATGCTCTGAATTATTTCCCTTTAAAGCAGTCATCATTTCAGCTTGGCTAGCTGGGCAGCCCAAGATAAGGCCCAAGGTCATGACTTTCATTGGTTCCACAGAAGATGAATGAAGTTCTAAACTGAAAGGGAGGACCTGCCACTGGTCTCTGACTGGATTAATCTAGAATAGTTTACCTAGGTTCATGGTGTAAACTGCAAATATCCCAGAAGAAATAAAATGAACCAGCTTGCTAGACATGCCTCAAAATGTATGTCTTTCCTTCCCATATTTGGAAAGGACCTAAGAAAGCAGCGACAGGGGACAGCCCATTTGTGCCTTCTCCCTCGCAGAACTCCCCTGGCAGGACCTGCGGTCAGAACTGGTGCTCAGTTCAGGCCAAAATGCTTCCACCCTGGGATTGGAGGGAAAGAGTAGTAGGAAAGGCACATGGGGATTTTGGAGGGTGGAGACGCATAGCTTGAAAACAAAGTGCTTTGCTTCACCATTTTTGTTCTCAATTCATGAAAATGTATTTTGGAAAATTTAATAACTTTATAAAAAGACATGAGAATTTTATATTTATCCAAGATCATGGCTTGGGTTTTGAAAATTTGAGAAATTTTGGTTCAAGCTGCTGATTAGGGACTTTGGAGCACAGTGCTCAGCACTTTGGCAGATGTGGTAATAAAACCTTGGCTTCCTTTTTCACTGGCTGCCCATTTATATGTCTATTTAGAAGTCTTCAGCCTTAGGGGAATGGTTCATATTTTTACTTTATCTATATTAACTTTCTTTCACTAAAGCTTAACCATAAAATAACTATACTAGAAGCTGAGCTTCACTAACCTTTCAACTGCAATTAACATAAATACCATAAAAATTCCTTTTCTAGCACTGCTTAAAGCAAATTAGTTTTGCAAAACTCAACTTATGCCAAAGACATCGTTTTGAAAATCATGGGAATGATATTCTCTGTCTTTCATTCAATGTTTCAGCTATTCATTCTTGAAAGTGATTGAACCTTAGTGTAGAAAAATTTAGGATGGAAGGTCTCACAGGGACAAACACCAGAGGTGGGGGGAGGGAATGATTAATAAACCTTAACTAAAGCAGCTATGGAAATTTCCAGGAATCTAAAATGGGGTCAGAGAAGATTATCAGCTATAGGTGGGGGCAGACAGGATTAATTAACTGTGTTCCAGGATTACTGGTCTTAGAAGACCAACCCAACCTGACCACAGTGGGGTAATTTCCACAATAATTCCATCAAACATCATAATAAAAAGAACATCCCTTGCCCTGGCAAAACAGTTCTTGTTCTTTAAGACTAACCATCTGTGTCCATGGAGGTGTCACTGTCTCCTTTTCCCCACTCAATAAACTTGCTGTATGTTGATGAATGGGAAAGTCTGCTGAATTCTTTCTCAGAAGGACCTAGAACCTCACACACTGAACCCCATGATCTGAACTCCAGCCAAAGTAAACAGTGAGCATCTTGTGTGTACAGCACATGGGACGAGCACCAGCCAATACCCAACAGCCAACTCACCCGTGTGAGAATAGATGTACCACAAAGCCCCCGTCAGCAGCGCCCCAATCACGAACGCTGCAAACGCAATGCCCATCACAGTCAGGGTGTCCAGGCCGTGGAAAACTGCTGTAAGGTGAAAATCATGACACACCGTAAGTCAGTCTGTATCATACACTACAATTTTATATTTGTTGCACAAGCACTGTAAGAAAGGCTGAGCAGTGGCTGCTAAAATCTGAGGACAAAACAAAGATTCCAACAAAAGACTGTATATACAAATACTTTCCTTTTTGTTTAAAGATTTATTTTTATTTATTTATGCATACAAGAATTAGGCCAAGGGTGTAGGGGCGGGGGTAGAGAGGGAGGCAGTGAGAGGATTCACCAGAGAGACAGTGGGGAGCAGAACAGGTAGATCTATTGAAATACACTGCTGAGGGGAGCAGCAGGCGAGTCAGGAGAGGTCTACTGTGCCCTGTGGGTAGCTCCCTGGCTGGGGATTGAACTCTTAAGGCAGTGGCTGCCCAACAGCAGGATAGCACTGACTTTAACCCCTGCGCCACCAGGGGGACCCTACAAATACTTTCTTAAAAGACATGCTCCGTCTGCAACTTATTTTGAGCAACAAATGTAATGAAAAATCAGATTTGTAAACTCTGTGGTCTGGGGTTCATTACCTTAATCTGAGGACCCACCATTTGAATTGTAAAGTGAAAATTCAGAGGTTACTGACTCATTGCTTGTTATTCAATGGATACTATCAACCACAAGACACTACAGAGAAATATACATCCAAGACTTTATCAACATTTTTGTGAACATTTAAAAGTATGAAAGATAACAGAAAGAAAGGAAGGTGAGAAAGAGAAAACAAAGTAAGGATAAACTATTTCTGTGGGCATAACATTTCACTGATTTCCTCATACTAAACCTTAAATCTTAAATTACATATTGTGTCATTTAAAACAACCTACTTTTTAATACTTCCAACCATGATCTTTCTATGAGACAAACGGATATACTTCTGAGGAGGGAGTGATGTCAGTTTTATGGTCAGCAAAACACATAAATAGAACCAATTGTTTCTCCATTTGGCAAAGATTTTTATATTTGAGATTAATTCCAGGCCACAGAAATAGAACATTTCCTTTCATTTAAGAGAACTACCTTCTTTGGTCACTATAAAAAAAAAAAAAGTTAAAATCAGATTCTAAGGGAGAGGAGATTTGGTGGAAAAGAAATTCTAATTTGTCTGGTTTTTGTTCAATACAAATGAAAGGTATAGGATCCCCTATGACTACAATACGGTTTTGATGTGCCTTGCCACTCAGAAACAACTCCAGCTGACTTCTACATTTAACTCTTTGCCTTTCAACTCACTTCAGTTAAAATATCCAATTAGAGATAAATGTGGACTTTGAGCAGCCCCAGCACTTAACAAGGAAGAGCATGTCATGGTGGAAAAGATTCTGCAAGGATCCAAAAGCCTTAACGTGGGTCCTTATTCTTCTAGCCATGCGCCCTTTTGTGCATTCATTTACTTCCTAATAAATGGGGGCACTACTTCACCTGCTTAAAGCAGGAGGGAAACAAAACTAGTTTGTGAAAGTGGCTGGAGATTCCCTAGAAGGAGTACAATCTGGGAAGAACTCTCTGGAGGTTAAAATAAACCAAATCATCAACCTAATTTAATCTAGTCCCTAGGTTTTTAAAAAGGTGACTTGCACTTTGTGTGCATATGGATGCAAAAGTGGGACACGATTAAGAGTTTTTAGTGAAAATATTTTTAAATTCTGAAGGTGGAGCTATCATGTATGAAAATCAGACTAGGTAAGTACAGGAAAACATGATACTGTTCCATGGATACACTATTCCATGAGATTGTTGAGATGATACACAGACAGTTAATTAAACAGCCATGGAGACTAATTTAAGAATCTTAGGGAAGAAAAACAGCACAAAACTCCTCAGAGGTCTGCTATCAGCCAGGAAGTCCAGGTTCTAGTCCTGCCTCAATGCCAGTTGCAACCACAGATAAGTCACTTAAATATTCCAGGATCAGAATTTTCTTTGGTATAAAGCAATAAAATTAGCCCAGATAATTTCAACTCATAATTTGGTAGTAGTTGGCATTTCTCTTTTTATCATACCTGCCTCCTTTCTCCCCATATTGACACACACATACTTGGACTAAAGTTTGTCTTGCAGGAACACAACTAACTCCTTTATATCTACGTCTTTGAGCAGGTAAATATTATTGATGCCACATAAAGCAAACCACTCCCACAGTTGTTATCTTAATGCGTTCAGACAACGGAAATAAGAAAGACACAAGCATGTAAATAAAAACTTCCCTAATACTTAGTAAATTGCTACCTTGCCATTAACACCATATAGCTCAATGGATCAAGGAGTTCATCTTTTAAAATGGCAAAGGTAAAGAGGAAAAAAGAAAGGAGAATAAAAGAAGGATAAATGGATGGAAAAAGAGAGTATGAGGAAAAAGTGGGGTGGAGGAGGGAATGAGAGCAAAAGTCCCCTTATCAAAACTCAAAGTTTGGCAAATGTTCTATAACCAACGTATTCTTATAAAAGCCCAGGAGGTTTTATTTCGAAATACTGCATGAAGACTTACGTGGTGGAATTGGACCCAGTTCCTTCATGCTTGGATCTGTTTCTGAAACAAAAACATAAAATCACAATGCATTCCACAGAGAAATCAAATTTTAAGCAAAGGGTCATCAAAATCTCTATTTGCTAATAAATACTTATCTTGTGAAAGCTTAGCCTCTTTAGATATACAACTGTAACAAGGGTTATTCAGAAAGTTTAAGAACTACACCTTGCTAACAATTGCACAGACTCTCTAATTTTTTTTTTTAAAGAAGGCCTGTTAATTTTTTTTATTTTTTATTTTATTTTATTTTTTTAAACATTTATTTATTTATTTATTTACACAAGTACTGGGCACAGTCAGAAGCGCGGGAGGGTGAGAGAATTCACCAGAGTCAGAGCGGGGAGCAGAGCAGGCAGAAGGACCGAAGTACACTGCTGAGGGGAGCAGCAGGCGGCAGGAGAGGTCTGCGCGCCATGTGGGACCCCTCCTCCTGTGGCCGGGGAGCAGCCGGGGATCGAACCGGCACTGCAGAGGCTGTGGGCAGCCTCGTAACCCAGCGCTCAACCGCTGCGCCACCGAGGCGGCCCACAGACTCTAATTTGATGAAAACTTGAAGGCAAACATCTACACTTAAGGCACTTGAATCTGACAATTCATGTATGCCATTTATTTATAAAAGGATTCCATATCTTTAAACACTATGTTTTCCTGGTGTATTCAAAATATTATTCCACTTTCAAAGATTTCTTTTAATTTAGATTTTTGTTTGAGTCTGCATTCTTCTGTCCTTAATGCTACTGTCCTTAAATTCAGCTCTTCCTTCTCACTCATCTGCGTTATTAGAGATTTCCTAACTGGTCTCCTTGTCACCAACACTGTTCCTACTCCAAAAACTCCTTCCTCCACATTTGCCCTAGGAGTGAATATTCCAGAGCCCAAAGGTGATCATGGTCCGGCCCTGATCGAACTGGTCATGTTCTCTCCCTCATTTATTGGGAGATAATCCAAACTCTTTGGTATGGCACACAGAGTCCTGCCTCCTTCCTCTACCCACCTCTCTCCAGCCTCCTTCCCTAATGGGGTCCATCAGCCATGCTGGGTTCCTCATACTAAGTTCCCCAAATTCTCCATGGTTGCGCCACGTCATCCTCTGAAATACCCTCCTCTTCCAAACCCACTGAGTTGGCGTTTTCACCCGGGGCTTCCCCTGACCCCTGTATCTTCACACAGCAGACATGATGGTCTCTCCCACTTTTGCTCATTTTACCCCTCTCTGTTACACAGATTCCACATTACATTGGAATTCTTTTTTCCTGCCCCAAGGGTGGGGTCAAGTTCTTACTCCTTTGTCAATCCCCAGGGTTCAGTCTGGCATGAAACAGGCCTGCCAGAAAAGTGAAATGCTTAGTGAAGGATATTGAGAACATGGATTTGCTTCCTGAAATGGAGGCAATAAAGGAAACTTGGAGTAAAACTATATGAAAATGCTCATATGCCTCAACGTTCCTGTCATGCTTTCCCGCTCATAAGCGCTAGCTGCTATGTTCAATCTCATTTGAGGTTCACACCAGCCCTCAGGGAGGCAGAGAAAGAATTCTTATCACTATTTCACAAATGAGCAGCCTGAGACAATGGTACCATGTGACTAGTCCAAGGTCACAGCTGGAAAGCATCAGGGCAGGGTTGAACCAGAATCCCAATCTGCCAAGTAGGCTAAATGACTGGGGCATGCTGCTCAGTGCTGAGCTGGGGAAGCACTGAGAGGCTTCATGCCATCCTCTACCATGACAACAGCTTCGAGCAGGGCCAGCATACAGTGACCTGCCACTTCCATGGCCGATAAACTAAGAAAAAACTATTTTTAATGATTGAAAAAATCAAAATAATATTTGATGACATGTGAAAATGATATAAAATTCAAGTCTAGGGCCTCCCCTGGTGGCACAGGCGGTTGAGCGCCATGCTGTGAAGCTGTCCGCAGCCTCTGCAGCACCGGTTCGATCCCGGTCGGCCGGCGAGGGTCCCACAAAGCGCAGTGGACCTCTGCTGTTGCGCCCGCTGCTCCCCCCAGCAGTGTATTTCATCAGTCTGCCTGTTCTGTTCCCCACTCTGTCTCTGGTGAATCCTCTCACCCTCCCGCGAATCTGGCCTGTACCCCGGTTCTTGTATAAATAAATAAATAATAAAATAAATCTTTAAAAAAAAATTCAGATCTATTCCAAAAATAAAGTTCTATTTGAACACAACCACGCTCACTCGTTGACACGTCATGTCTTTGCTTTCCTGCTGCTGCACCCGTGTGGAGTAGCAGAGACAGGCTCGGCGTGAGCTGCCAACCAAAAAGATTCATGATCTGGCCCTTTATAGAGAGTGTGCGGAGTCCTGGCACAGGCTCTGCCCATTGTTTAGAGTTTAAAAGTGGCATGTATTTAGGGCCTAACTCTTCTCATCTCCTTTTTCATTGGGAAGAGAAGGAACACACATCTGCCGCAGAATCCACAGTGAAGCAAAAAAGAACTTGTGAAAAACTGACCTCACAATGGGTACTTGAGGTGATAGTCACAAAAATAAAAAGGATTGTAAATTCTCAGGATTTATGCTCTTGGTGGGGTTGCTAGCATTCTCCCAGAGTGAGGTGTCAGGCCCAGCTCTAGGGGAAGGAATGTGACCAGATGACTCAAAGCCACTGGGACTGAATGATGCCCCCTGGAGTTGTGCAGCAGGGGGTCTCTGGGGGAGGAGATATGGGAAAGTCATGCTTCCATAAAATTACTAAGAAAATTAAAATCATTGTGTGTTTTTAAGAAAATCTAATTCAGTGTGCAGAACAGACAGCAACTAAAAATGCATTTAAGAGTCTGTTTCCTGGAAGTGTGGTCCTTTTTGCCTTTTGGGGAGCAATAAAACAACATTGCCAACACCTTAAATTTGTACATTTGTCAAGTATTTCACAACTGATAAAAAGCCTTCACTTACATTTTCTCATTTTAAGCCCCAAGAACCCTATGAAGCAGGGGTCTCTAACTACAAAATTCTCCTGCTTTTAAGAAGTAGTGGTTTGAATCACTGAACAAAGTCCAAAGGCATTTAAAAGCCTCCATGGGGTGCATCATGCAAGAAGTAGACACAGTTTGGGGAAGAGTTCTATGCAGTCGACCGCCCAATGTTCAACTTTGTCACTCAGAATCTCCAAGAAGTTTTAAATCATGATTCTCCCCTACCGAGACCTCACATGTGAGAATTTTGGTTTTCTAACAAGGCCTGTGTGATGGATGGCATTGCTTTAGAAACCTTAATGGACTTGTGTTATGATCTAATCCTCCTCCCCCTTACCAAATAGGGGCCTTTTCACAGGGCTAAGCAGAAACAGTTGTTGCTTATTTCCCTGGAGTAAAGTGCCTCTATGATTTCTGTATATAAACAATAACAAGCACAAGCTGCAGAACTGAGGCTAAAGGATTTTATCCTCTCGTATTTTTTGTTCCCAAATTCCCAATAACCCCTGAGTATAACTAGAATAGTTAGATCTCCACTGAAACCCTATAATTGAGTTGGCATGCCGAAAGGGAAAGAGTGGACACAATAATATTTACTTTTGGTTGAAGGGCAAGATTGTAAGAAAGGAATCCCAGCTATTGCTGTAAAGGGAATTTTAACAATAAAGATTTCTTCACAGAAAGAACAAACTATAATCAACATTCTGAATTAAATCTTTTCATATACTCTGAGCAAACTCTGGTCTACCTCTAGAACCAAAATTTCCCTGCTCAGATGGTTAGGCATGGTTTTCATAACCGGGAGAGACCTGGGGTTATGCATGAGTAACAGGCCACAGCTTCAGCCCTCCAGCTTTCCATTCAGTCCTAAACATGGTAGGACTGAGCAAAGATGGAAGAATGGAGAGATGGAGGAGTCTTTGCACAGGGCCCATTAAAACACAGCTTTTACTAATGTCTTTGTAAATGAACCCCTCCTCTGGATTCTTTTGATATTTACAGCATTCATTGCAATTACCCAGTCACTTAACTGCAAAACCCTCCATTAGATCAGTGGTTCTCACCTGCAGGTGATTTTTACCTGAGCTTCCCCTCACCCCCAGATCTCAGAAAGGTCTAGAGACATTTGGGGCTGCTACACTGCTGGTAGAGGGGCTTGCTGGGGGTCATTTAGTGGGCAGTGGCCAGGTATGCAGCTTAACTCCCTACAACTGTAACACAGGACAGCCCATGACACAGAGTTATGCAATCCAAACGTCAATAGTGCTGAGGTTGTAAAACTATGCACTAGACTGTAAAAGTCTTAAAGACACAGCACTGCATATAACAGTTACTCACTGGCACTTTTTGGAATAAATAACCGTAAATATCATGTATATCTTATGATTGTGCATCTTCTGAGCAACCAAACCTCCATGCTGCTTTAAAATTTTTCTGAATGATCTGATCATTGATTCCCTAACTCTAGATCTTTTGATGATTCTTATTAACTTTTAGAGGCTCATATTAAAATATTTACGGTTGGGCCTCCCTGAAGGCATAGGCGGTTGAGCGAAGCCCTGTGACGCTGTCCGTGGCCTCTGCAGTGTGGGTTCAATCCTGGCTGGCCAGGGAGAAACCCACATGGTGCAGCAGACCTCTTCTGTGTCAGCCGCTGCTCCCCTCAGCAATGTATTTCAGTCAGTCTGCCTGTTCTGTTCCCCACTCTATCTCTGGTGAATCCTCTCACCCTCCCGCACATCTGGCCTGTACCCTAGCGCTTGTATAAATAAAATCTTAAAAAAAAAATATTTATGGCTAAAATGAAATGAAATATCTGGGTTTCCTTCAAAACAATGCAATGGGGGATGGGAAAGGATAAAAACAAGATTGGCTATGAACTGTTAATTGCTCAAAACAGATGGAGGGTTTGTGAGATTGCATGCTACTATTCTGATACCTCCTCCCTTACTGGGTAGGGAGGTCTTGATCTGTCAAATATTTCTACCAACTTTCCACTCGGTTTCCCTTCATCTCTTCCTCAGCCTGGGGTAAAAGCTGGCCATGGCTTTAGGGTGTTTCTGTTCTGGAAAAATCAAGTGTGTTCCCAAGTAACGCCTCTTTTGGATTAACTTCCAATTGATGTTCACAACTTTTCCTTCCAACCTCTCCCTGTACCCCCCTCCCAAACCTAGTTAAGAGGAAGGAAAGGAAGGAAATTAACATTTACTGAGGGCTGATGGTATGTCAGGTGCCGTTCTGAGCACATGAATTTTTAAAAAGTTATGTGGCAGAAGATGAAAATTCAGTGCCTTAAACATTTAACTTGCTAAGAATTACATATTACATAAATGATGGCAATTTGGGAGATATTTTCTTTTGTGCCTGTTTTTTGGGGGTATAGGTGTGGTAGATTTCAGAAAAGTGATTACTCTTCACTTTCAACATTTTGACTGACAAGGTGTAGCCATTTTTATCGTGTAAGCCCAAGAGTTCTCAGATGCTGCAAAAAGTGGTCACAGCATCCAAAGCAAGTCCCACTAACATGCCTATACTTCAAAATATTTCAGAAAATATGGTAGGATGGCACCACCTCAACTATTTTAATTGCTTTGCCATAAACCATAATTGCACCAACTATTCATGTTTTCTGGGGGTTTTTTGGTGAGTTACAATCCAAAGTCACTTCTCCTAAACTTTAACACTCTCTTAAACAGTTTACGTGTTTCCCCACATCTTAACCCTTTGGAGGAACAGACTTTCTTTCGCTAAAGCTCTTCATCTTCTTTTCAGTTTATAATCACTGGTGTATTTGGACACTATCTTGCACACCGATGTGATAAGGCATGAACAGGGGAAGAGGGAAAGAAGGGGTTATAAAGAAACAGATGTCTCTGTTGCTTGTAGTTTTATTTATTTATATGTTACATCATTTTTCTTTCTTTCTTTTTTTTTTTTGGCAATGTTTGCTCTCTTTTCTCAGGTGTAGTCCCCATAGAATTTCCACCACCAGTTCATCTGTGCACCATAGCCATAGTCCCTTGTGCTCTTCCCTCCCTCGTGCTTGTAGTTTTAATTAAAAATTAGAATAGTGGAAACTAGACATTGGTGGTGGTCATGATATAGCATATACAGATGTTGAATCAGAAAGCTGTATAGCTGAAACTTATTTAATGCTATAAACCAATGTTACCTCACTAAAAATGTATTTCTTAAAAATGGAGGGGGAAAAAACCAACTAGAATCAACCTGTCCTCTGGGAAAAGGCATGAGTCTTTGGGGTACAGGCGATGGAACCAAAATGCCTGAATCTCAGCTGCACCATTTATAGGTGGTGTGACCTCGGCCAAGTTATTTAACCACACTCTATACCTGCCTCACAGAGGGAATATGAGGATTAAATAATCCACATAGAGCATTCAGCTCAGACACTACAAGTAAATACACAATAAATGTTAGATCACTATCAAATCCATCACCACCATCACCATCATCTATTGTTGAAATGTTTAAGCAGCAGCAGAATTCTAACCCACTGCTGGTTCCCACAGGGCTGAAAGGTTAAAAGTGGCTTAATGTGCTGTAGAAGCTAAAAAAAGTTCCATTAAAAAGAAACCTTTCTTTTTATAAATTCCAGTGGCCCAGAATTATTTGCGTAGGTGGATGGTCTATTCTCCTCGTCCACAGAAGGAAGAAACACCATCTGAAATGTACGTGTGCTACTGGCACTGGGAGCCACAGAGCCGCTCCCCATCTGGCAGGTAACAACCAGAGCTCTCGCAGCTTCAGAAAACTCAAGTGCTGAGAAATAAGATCCCAAAAGATGTGGAAAAGCAGGAGTCTTGGCACAACTGCCAAAGAGTACCAGTTTACCTGATAGGACAGTGTAATATCCCATTGGTCATGAAATTTTTACCCAATGGGCAAAATTGGACCCCAATAAGAGATCTGCCCACTTCCACAGATTCTGCAGTAAATGTACATCTACAGTAACACACAAAGCTGTCTGGCAGGAAGAACACCACAATCCTATTATTATACAAATAAACCACTGCTATTAGGCATTCCCTTTTCAAATGACTATTCCAATTCACTGACAGGCAGAAGGAAAGCAGACTCTGGTGGCCTGCATTGAGGAGAAATTATTTTAGAGTCAAAGGAAAATAAACAGAAAAGTTGAGAGAAGTCACTCACTGAAGGAGCTGAAACTGCTAGAAAACCAACCCATTTGATGTAAAGTTAGAAAATGTATTTGCCTACAGCCCCTGGGAAGCTGGCCTACAGTTTAACCTCCTCAATTTGTTTAACAAACCTAAGCAGTAAACTTTTCTTCACCACTTGCTTCTCCACTAAAATCTAGTCTCAATTAGCAAATCTCATGAAATTGCTTTGATATTTGGTAAAACTTTCCTCTGAACTTTTATGTAAAGAAAACATAAACTTTCAAGATAATTACACTAAGTTTAAATAAAAGTCATTACCTAATTTACAAGAGGAATTACTTAGAAAAATACCACCAGACTTGAAAGAATGAATGAATTACTGGAAGTTATACTGCTGTAATATTAATGCCTAATTATCGTCTGGCATAGGAAAAAGCAAGCTGCTGCCTTCAATTACAGCAGAATTACCTTTCAAACTAGGTAAGAGTAACAGATGGAGTGCGAGGTAGCTGTTGCTATTGTTAAACCACATTCACAGTACAAAACAGAGCCAGCTGTTATTCAGTTGTGATATACTTTGCAACACAACTTGTTCTTCTTTCCCCTGGACCCAATAAACAAGGCATTATCTGAGCAATTCATTTCTATTCTGTGGGCTGCAATAGTTTCTTCAAATAGTTGAAAACCAACTGATAAATGTAAAATAAGCAACAATGTCAATGAGGAACTTATAATCCCCTAGTGTACATTTCGTACCAACTTTAAGATGGTTAGAAAATGAATTAAATTTATGTTTGTTTGTTTCTTCAACAGTGGAAGTCATATGGTCCAAATCTCTCCTTTTCCAGATTGAAAAAATGCAACACAGGTACACGATGGGACAGCTTGAAAACCCAGAGAGTTGTGCCCAGGGTCCTGGTTCTCGGTCAGCACCCTCCCCACTCCACTGTACTACCTTTCCCAAGGGGGCATGTTCCTGGGAAGGGGAAGATGCTACCACTGTATGACAACAGGAATAACGCTGCTATGTTTACAAAGGTCATTCAACCAACGAGAAACCGGATGACACCCACAGGGCTCTGTTCTGTTACGAGTTGTCTGCTCCATCCAGGGCTACCCCTGCTGCCTATTCTTGCAAATCCAACAATGCTCAGGTCAGAAATGCTGACCAAGGTTTCCCCAAACCTAGACCTGGGGTGACTACCACCCAGTAGGTCTCCCAGCTAATGTGCGGCAGCCAGAGTCTGGCTACTTGCAGGATTTTGTCAGAGCCCTCAGGGCCAGGCTTTGCTGCCTCTCAGGGTGGTGGAAGGCGGCTTGGATCTCTAGCTTACAAATGTCTACCCTGGAGACTTAGAAGGCACTTTCACGGTCTCAGCGCTTTCTCGGTCTGGGCCCCTTAGCAGCCATGCTTCTGGACAGTGACAGGTTCTGAGACAGTAACTGCCCAGATGGTCTATGGGATACCTGGTTCTACCGCAGATGGCGACAGCTGCCTGGATGTTTTTGACTATTCATGCCCTTGGAGCTCAGATGGGGGTCCCTGTCAGAAGCCCTCCACATGGTCCACAGGGCTTGACTCTGCCTCTCTGCTGGCTGGGCTGGCTTGCCCTGACTGTTCCCCCAGGTACTGATGTTACACCTCTTAGGGCATGCCCTTCGTTCTCTCCTAGAAGGTTCAGCTTGCTGAATGTTCCTGCATGTATAGAAAGAGGCACTCTTGGCTTCAAGCAACAAAGTGATTGTAAAATTCTGAAAGCTGAATTACAAAAATGCATCTGGACAGTGGTTCTCAGCCTTCTCTCTCCTGTGCCACCTAAGGGGGTTCCATGAATACCCTCCCCAAAGGCATCGGCGAACTTGACAATGAACTACAATAATTTGCAGCCAGTGCAGAGACCATAAAAGGATAGGCTGTGGACCACATGCAGCCCCAGGACACCACAAGGACCCTAACCCTTTCTTGCACCCTTGGGGAAGCATATTTGAATCTAGCAGGTGGGGGCTGGGGGCTTAACATGGTGACAGGGACAGCCTGGACACTGATCTGATACCTGCAGAGTAATCATTTCTGAATGTATTCCTTACAATTCAGCACCTGGCGGTAGAAGAACCAACTATCAAAATAAAGGACATTTGGAGCAAAGAATCCTTTTCTCAGGTTATATACTGGCCATTCGTTTAGTTTTGTTTTTAAGTAAAAATAACCCTTTTAAGAAGCAGCTCGCCGGCCCCTATTTTCTGACTGAGCCTGCCATGGCTTACCTTTAGGTACTACTTCATGGTGGATCACAGCGAGGGGCTTGGTGAAGGTCTTCTTATTCTGCATCATGGCCCAGATCATGGATGCATCCAGTGAGGTGCAGGCTTCATCGGGAGGAACGCACTGCAGAAGCAAAGCAAACACAGCATGGGGGTGTACAAAAGGCTCCTGGGCCGTTCAGCTGCACAGCTGTCTAGAGGCTCCTTATCAGACAGCTCCCAGCTGTTTACCCAGAAAAACAGGAGATTCGGGTGTTTTTTCAAAGAACCACAAAGAATCTGGGAGTTCAGTGTATTCTCAGCTGTGCTTAAAGATGCAAATATCACTGGGCAGTTTATAAATACTGCCCTCCCCCCATCTTCCCACAAAACAACTAGAGGGTTTTGTCTTATTTAGTATGAAAAATAAAGAAACTATATGATGAATGTTGGCCCTTCACCAAACTGGCTGCACATAAACGGTTTATGTTTGTGATTTGTAATTGTGGGAAACTTCACAGACTGCATCATGAGGGTGACAGCTTCCACATCTGTTGTCCAAAAAGATAATCATGTTGTCAGGCTTGCTTAATTTTTTAAATCCTGGTATAGGCTCATGCAAAATGAAGCTTTCCAAGGTCATCTGCTTTTAATGTTCCAAAATGGAGTCCTGGGGAGTTGTATCCAGGTGTGGAGGTCACAGGGATAGTTGCTTATAGCTATTTTAAGCCCCCAATTATAGAATTAGCATGTCCAAGCCCACTGCAATTGTTTTTTAAAAGTACAGTCACACTCCAGCACCTTTTTTTGTTAAAATAACTTTAATTCCCGGTCTATGCTCATCAATAGGTAAAATGCTAAGGTAAAAGATACCCATTTGCTTTTGTTGTAGGAATAGATCGATCCTTTTAAAAAGTCTATTGCAAAGCACCATGGAAAGCTAATAGCTTCCAGCTCTTCCAATCACAACAGAATGAACACTTTGGGTTCACTGTTACTGCTGCTCTGAGCAAGAAATTATAAGACAACAACCTCTCCCCCACCCCAAAAAAGACAGAGAAAAGCCTTCATAATAGCCCTCTTTTAGAGAGAGGAACCATGGATTTTCTCTGGAGAGGCATCATTAGTTGTAAAGCTTTGCATATTAGGAAGAGGCTTCCTACTTTCCTATGTGTTCTTCAGTAAGTCAGAGTCTGTGGTGTTGTGTCTAACTCACTGTGTGACCACAGACAAGACAGTCTGTGGCCTCAGTTTCATCAGCAAAGGGCAGAGTTGGACTCAACCATCTCTGAGACAACTTCCCAGAAGATTCCTTGGCTCTGTTGATTGTCATGAAAACCACTTAGAAGCCATCAGAATTAGAAATACCTACTATCAAGAGTTTATACCTACTATCAAGAAAGACAGCGCTGAGAGCTGATTCTAAGTCGCTGCTCTAAAAATGATGGACTGTTGTTATATCTACTGTCTCATTGTTCCTCTACTAGGCAGGAAGCCAGGTACTGTTATTTCAATTTTATAGATAAGGAAATGCTGTTTCCAAGAAGTCAGGGACTTGCTGAAAGTCTTGTTAGTAAGCAGCACACATCACTTCTCGGTGCCCATGCTCCTTCCACTGTCTCTTACTTTGGTTGTAAACAGTAACTTTCAGTTTAAAGTGACATCCACATTCTCCCCTGGAAGTTAGTGCTCTTCTTAGAATGTTCTGAAAGGAATTATTAGGCTTAATTTTTACAGATTAACACAGATAAACAAACTGGGCAGCTCCAGGCCAGGCTCAGAGAGAGGTAGCAGCCGCAATCATTAGTAAAGGCCCCTGGTAACTGCCAGGTCTTCCCTCCTAGATCCCTAACTCTTTCGAGTTATCTGCTGCCTGCAGGAAGTAGCTGGGGCCCACAGTCAATTACTAAGTTCCCATGGCTCGCTCCCATGGTCACAAATGGCTTCTGGCAGGTGAATGTCCACATGTTAAGACATCACGTTTCCAAAGCAACCTAAAAAACAGTCTAAATCACCATATATATATATACTCCTTCATGATTATGATGAGATTCATTGTATGTTCATATGCCTTATAAAATTTTCTTTGGTGTTATTGTTATAGGAAAAATGGATCCCGAGAGAAAATAATAGTGCAAATGATTCAGATCCATGGAAATCTATCCGATAATGGTACTTTTTTCCCTACAATCTCTACACCTATCTTTGACAACCTACCTATTAAAGGGATTTCGATACACATAGTATACTAGTAATAACACAGCCTGACTTTTATACTTATAGACAATGATTGATATGTGATTGATTACAAAAGCAGCAGAAGTCAGCTTCTGCTGACACTACATGAGACATCTACAGAATAAACGTACGTGTGACATTATACATAATCATGGCAGATCACAAAAACAAAACTACAGCAGAAGACACTTTTCATGCACAAGGCCAACCTAATATGAACTATCATAATAACTTTACAGCTCTCTCTTTAATAGCTGTCCCAGCAAGGTCAACAGGTTCTGATTTTTGTTGTGGCAACAGAAAGAACTGGTTGAACACAGGGACTGCCATGAGGCAAACATGATGAGCTGATACGAAACTGAGAAAAATTAAAATATTTGTTATTTTCCCTTAGATTCCCTCCTGAGACAAGTTAACCTTATAATTCACACAGAGAAGGTCAAAAAACAATTGCAGTACAAGTCCCAGTGGGATCTGGAAAAATTAATCCGCACACTGGACTTGTCCTTTGAGCTCTCAGTGCTCTGGCACCATATGCTATCTGAACAACACAGATAAAGCCAAACCTCTCCCTCAATGGAAAACAATCTTGATTTATCATTTGTAAGATATTACTAAGTAGCATGCATGGAAAAAAATCATTCTGTAAGAATTCATTCCCTAAAACTCCATAAAAATCAGAGTTCCCTGCTCACGTGGACTTCATTCAGTTGGGATTTCCAAACCCCCAAACTTCAATCTGCAATAGTTCTTGATTAAACTTCTTGGCTAGGTGGCCGTCTTTCCTAAAAATGTCAAAATCACAATATAGATGGATGAAGGCCCACTAACCTTAGGTAAGCCCTGGGGGTCCCTCTCCTTCTTGGTGCACAATGTGAGCTCACACTGTAGGAAGAGCAGCGAGGTGTTGAAGACAGACTTAAAAACAAAGCTGAATCGCTTCTTATCTATCTCAGCTTGCGGGATAGGAAAGAGCACTCTCTTGGGATTATAGAATTTCACGGATTCATCTTTAGGACAAATGTTCTCAATGATGGTGTAATCAGACATCCTATCAGGGTTCGAATAGGGAGAGATAAAACATGTTTGGATGGCAAATCCCAGTTCTTGGTCAGCCTTAGTAACAGACACCTGCAAAATACACAGAAAGATGAACAAAAACAAGTCAGTATCTCTCTTTTACTTTAGGCACAATGGTAATATACCAACATGACCCTTTTATTTGAAAAATGAATCAATTAATTTTCTTACATTGTTGTTAATTTTTGGACAGTATTTGATTGTTCCCCTCAGGTGCAGTCACCATAGTTCTTCCACCACGATAGAACCTGTGATCCATCACCACAGTCCTTTGTGCTCTCCATCCCCTGTTTTGATCCCTTCCTTTCCCCTGCTACATGCCTCAGATCTATGGTCAGCTTGCAAGTTTTGTCTTTTTTCCTGACCCTTTGTTTGGTTTCTCTATATTCCACATATAAAAGAAACCATCCCACATTTATCTTTTTCCTTCTGGATTGTTTTGCTTAGCATAATCCCTTCCAGCTCCATCCATGTTGCAGCAAGTGATGTGAGTTTATCCCTTTTGATCACTGAGTAGTATTCCATCAGCACGGCCCCTTTGATGAGACACATTGCTTTACCCTGACAATATACTTATACAGCCTTCTCATCGCAAAAATCACATACTCATTGAAGAATGTCTTCCCTTTAGACTTGATATGGATGGTGTCGATGAATTACTGAGTTCAAATGCTAGCCTGGAAGAGTCCAACGCAAGATGCATAAGTCTCTTCCATACAACGTCTGGGAGATAAAAATAAAAATAAAAGTACACTGCATACCTAAAGTAGATTTTCCAAAATAAATAAAATGACCACAGGTGAAGCCCCTCATGTTGTGGTAGTATATTACTTGTAAGGCAAGCTCTTTTTTAAAAATTGCTCAAAAGATGGAGTACAGAGGTAGAATCTATTTAGCCTAGGCTGAGAGGACTGACCTCAACTGCTGCAAGTCAGAGTGAGTATGAACCACTACAAGAGTGCTGAAGCTCCGTCTAAACTCCTGCTCCATGTGGGCAGGCAGAGCTGTCCCTGGGGGTGGATTTCAGAGACTGTGCGATCTGGTGGCAATCAGTGTCCCAGCTGCTCCCAGGTCCAAACCAGACCTTGCCAAGTACTCTCCCTTCCCTCTTTAAGCCCAAGGGTATTTTAAGGGAAATTTAATCTGGAAATGTTTCCGAGTCATTTACACTTCCCTCTCACAAAACATTTGTATGGGCAAAGTCCAAACCATGTTAAGGTTCTTTTCTTTAGACGCAGGAAGTAGTGCTTGGCCAAGTATAAACAGAATTCAAACCTCAACTATCCCGAACTCAGCTGAAATCCCCAGACTAGACTGGATTCTCCATTTGGTGACATATGGATCACTGTGTGAATTGTCCCTCCCTACTATGCCTCATTCCTTGACTAAACTTAGGCTTAAAATAAACTTAAACAGTTTAGAAGTAAAGTTAAAGTTAACCTTTGGCCACAGGTCAATATCCCCAGAAGACTTTCAAAAAGTGATAAAAACACATTTTCCATTGTGAGACACCCTGGGGAATTCCCTGACGTGGCACGGAGCATTCAGCCCCTGATACTATTTTGATAGGTCCCTTCATGGGTAACTGCAAGAATGCAGCAGTGACGATTGACAACAGTCATGTCCTTTTGTTGTGTCATAAAGCTAATCCCTCAGAACAATCTTGCAATAAATATTTTCATCTTCATCTTATAAATGGAGGAAAAACAGAACACAGAGGATAGGGAACTTGCTCAACAGCATACCTAGTAAATACTGGATAAAACCAAGGCTCAAATCCAGGTCTTCTGACCCCTTGTTCATTTTCTCTTTATTATTTGACTGTAGCCAGAGGGTCAATCAAACCAGGCCTAAGATATGACCTGAGGAGAATGCTTAGTGAGAAAAATTTCTAGGAATAGTGGTAGATAGTTATGTAAATATTCACACCTTGTTTTTATTATGTTATTTCTGAAAAACAAGATATTTTATCTTGGAAAGTTACATATATCCTATTATTAAATGATGCCTTTGAACACTAACTCAGAATCCACATACGACAGAAGAAATTCAAATCTTTCCTCTAACTTCAAAGAAAGCATACAATGATAGAATTAGTCTAAGGTGTCCCAAAAGTAGGTTTTTTAAAAGATTTTTTTTATTTTTAGGCATACAAGAACATGGAACAGAACAGGCAGACTGACTGAAATACACTGCTGAGGGGAGCAGCAGGCGAGGCAGGAGAGGTCTGCTGCACCATGTGGGTTGCTCCCTGGCCGGGAATCGAACTCATGCTTGCAGTGGCTGCTGTAAGCTTCATAGGTTGAGTCTTAACCCCTTACGCCACCAGGGAGGCCCCCCAAAAGTTGTTTTACAGGAAAAAATATCAGTAAATTTTTTACTTTAAAATGGATGGGAAATGAGTAGTAGCAGGACTAGAGGCTTTGGAGCATACAAGCACCAGGAAATCACAGGTTCTGCAGCTCCTGCGCTGGGAACCCTGAGCCTCAGTTTCCTCCCCTTCAGAATGAGGGTACTTGTTCCTATTGGAAATAGTTTTGTGGGAATCTGTAAAGTCAAAATTACCTGCAAACAACATAGCTCCCAGTGCCTGCTATGATTAGCAAAATTATTTTAGATTTAAATTTGAGGGGTTATATGCTTTTTAAAAAATTTCCCAAGACAAATGAAGTAAAAGAAAAGCTGCCATCATGTGACAGCTATCACTCAAAGACAACCAAAGACAGGTGGCAGAACTGAAAATGTTCAGACTGAAGGAAGAGGCGGCAGTCTAGAGGTAAGAGAGGATTCTGGGAGGGGTACGAGAGGAAGCAAGTCCAGGAGGAGAAACCTGGAAACAGTCCTTCAGGCCAAGCCTATAATTTGGGAAGTTTTACTTAACCTAAGGAAAATATTTTTAAATTACTGCAAAAAGATGTGGTTCATTTCTTCACTTGACAATTAGATTTTGGTGAAATTTTAATTATGAAAAATATCAATGATATTGAAAAGGTATTAACGGGAAAATAAAATAAAATAAAATAAAAAAGAAAACCGTATGTCAAGTCAGTCAGCACTGGCACTGGAGAAGTGAGGCAGAAACATCAAAACACCGATGGTAAGTTATATGAGAAAGACTGGATGCTGATTAGCAGAAAGCAGAAAGGCCATAAATTAGCAAAGGCAGGCACACGTTTGGAAAAGAACCAATTGCAGTTAAGCAGCACCCCTGAAATCCATAGCAAGGCAGGGAGTCATGTGGATTGTGCAGCCAGAAGAGCAAAAGAAGAAATGATCTTAGATCAGGGAGATCTGTGATTAGGAAAAGCACATAGAAAGCAGTATCTTTGGGCTTCCCTGGTGGTGCAGCGGTTGAACGCCGGGCTGCGGAGCTGCCCGCAGCCTCTGCAGCACTGGTTTGATTTCAGGCCGCCAGGCAAGAGTCCCACATGGCGCGCAGACCTCTCCTGCTGCGCCCACTGCTCCCCTCAGCAGTGTACTTCGGTCCTTCTGCCTGTTCTGCTCCCTGCTCTGGCTCTGGTGAATTCTCTCACCCTCCCGCGCTTCTGACTCTACCCAGTGCTTGCATGTATGTATGTATGTATGTATAAATAAATAAATAAATAAATAACTCTTAAAAAAAAAAAAAAAAAAAAAAAGGCAGTATCTTTCCCCAGAGGAGAAAGAAGGTTGTACCCAAAGAAAAAGAAGAGCTCTCACAACAGGGAATCATAGAAGAGGAGAGATCCAAGAAAACGTCCACAGCCAGTGGGCTCTGTCCAGAATCAGCACAAATGTGAGAGCTATTTGTCTTTCTAAAATAGAAATATGTGCACTGAAGTCACTTTTAATATATGGAAGTATCCCATTTCAACCCCTTAAGCTGCTCGCCCCTTCCACAGTGAGGCAGAACAGCTTGCAGCTTAACACCAAACGCAGCTCCTCAGATGACGACTTCCCTGTAAGACCAGCAGACATCCTGGGGCCATAAGGATATTTATCTTCTGTAGAATCCAATCCATGAACCTGGATATTTGCACAGCTAAGAGGCTATATTTTCTCCCTTTGCAAAGGGCAGTTTAAAGATATAACAGCATCCAGTGGATGACAGTGTGGTCTCTGCAGCCAGTCTGAGTATGAACTATAAACTCTACCAGAGATTAGCAATGTGACTGTGGACAAGAGTATGCCTCAGTTTTCTCCTCCATAAAATGGGAACATTAATAGTCTTGTCTCATAGGGCTGCTCTGAAGAGTAAATTCATTATTCGAATACTTAAAACAACTGGAACATAATAAATCTGTGATAGATATTAATGATTGCCATTTCATTATTACCACCACTAATATTTTCTTAGTTTTTCCATAGATTTATGCTATGCATGATTATTAGCATTATATCTAAGAAATAGTCTTAATAAGTTTATAGATATATTTTAATAATGATCTGGGAATAAACAATTTCATCATGAGATAAGGCAGTACCAAGCATTTCACTGAAGTATGTGCAATTTAAAACCTAGTATGTGAGGTACTCTGGAATATTCTCTGATGTTGCAACTACTGAATTACTATTCTAAAAGTGCTAAGGATAAGCAAGGACAGAGCTTTATTAACAGAATTCATACTCTGTTGATTTCTTTTTTTTAATTTCATATAAAATAGTCTTTCCATTTAGTGTAATGTAATGAATAGTGACATTTCCTGCTTTGGTTATAAATCCACCTGGAAGTATTTTTGAGCCACGCCCTCACCCAGAGCAGGTCAAGGATGCTTTAGGTTCAGGAGCTACTGTGACTCAGTGTTAACCCAAAAGTCCAAGGCCAACATTCGTTCTCACCTCAACATAAACATGTCCATTCTCTGCCACGGAGAAGACCCCCTGGGAGGGCACCAGGAAGAGGTCTGTGTTGTACAGCTCCATGTTGAAGGTGACGTTCCTGTTGTGTGGGTCCTGGAAGCCACTGGGATTCCTCACCTGCCGCAGGCTGCAATTAAACTGGAATAGAACCGGGTGGACGTAAATCAATCAAATGAAGAATGAAGATCCTGTATTTTATGAGTTTTGGCCTTTATCACCATTTTCTTTTTCCAACAATCTCTAATTCAAGTCAACCCAAACAAACAAAGAACTCTCCAAAGACTACATATTGCAAACTAACACCTACCGCCACAACTTCTGGTCCGACAAAGAAGGGAAATTCTCCTTCCTCCAACTCTCCTGGGAATCCATTGTCACCTGACTCCAGGTCTTCAAAACCCTCTGTCCCACCACTGCTGTCCTCAGGGGAGGGGACCTGTATCACGATCTAAAAGGCAAAGAAAACACAGATAAAGCTAAAAAAAATATCACAGGTATTTGCTTCTACCTCACATACACTCATGTACACATTCAGCAGCAAAATGAAAATGTGGCTTAAAAAACTCCTAGTTTTTTATGATTTTTATCTTCAAAGAGATGAAAAACAAAGAGAAGCTCAATGAATATTTAAAATAGGATCTGAACTAAAATATCACATTTCCCTTGTGAAAAATACAAATTATTTCAAAAGTGGGAGAACTGTAGACACTAATGCAGGGTAAATGGCATTGTCAATGAGAGGGAGCTTTCCCTGAAGAGTCTTTATACTGAAAACTCTAAGAACAGCAAGAATTGACTGATGCAAGGAGTTTTTGTTATTTGCATTCATCAAGATGTGTAGAAAGTTTGGTTTGAGCGAGAAGCAAAGGAACTATTGTTTGTTACTGAACCATTCTCCAGGCTTTTCTCCCCCCACATCTTTCTGCATGGTTTACAGATGCAGGAAAGAACACTGCATTTTCAATTCATGACAATTTATCCTAACCTTTGTTGAAATGATTATTCCTAGGTTAGTTCTAGAGAAGATGAAAAAAATCACCTAAGGATCACAGTTCCATGAACAAAACCCTAACTTCTTTATATGTGTAGGATAGTCATACATTTTTTAGATTTGATTTTTGGCTTATATTTTTAATATGTTGCAAAATCAGTAGTATATATAGCAGGTCTGAAAATTATTAGAAATAATTCTAATGGGAACATATAATTAAAATATTCACTGAAGGGACTAGAATGGGAAGAGAATGAAGAAAAACCACCTCTCTATGTACTAGGTTCTCAAAAGAAAGTATTGATGCAGCTGATGCAAGTACCAAGGATATTACATATATATAAATATTTTTTAACTGAATAGACAGATTACCATAGCTTCTTACTGATATTAATTTAGACACCAGTTTAAAATTCCAAATTCAAGTACATCAGTAATACATGACATTTATTGTATCTGGAAAACTGGATAATGGCAAGAAAAGCAGTGTTGGAATTGGCAAGAACATATTCATCACAGAGTCAAAGGTTAATACATTATTCCAGTAACAAAGGGAGATTAGCAAGGCCAGCCTGGTGTTAGGGAAAGGTTAGTGGCTCAGAGGTCAGGAAGCTGGAGTCAGTCCTGACTGCCATTAACTAGTCCCTCAAACCTCACTGAGTCTATTAACTCTCCAACAGTTCACCTTCCTTGCCTGTGAAAGAAAGTTGAATGAGATCATCTTAGGGTTCTTTCTAGCTCAAACATTCTAAGATGGCCTAAGGAACAACATACCTGGGCTCATGGGAATGCTGATCCCCACAAGAGCCACACTGGGCAGAGAACTGGATCACTGCGCTCTGGGTGGATCAAGTGTCATTTGGCAGTGGAATGAATTAGCAATCATGCCCCGCCCTATCCCAAGCCAAACTGACACAGTGTTAAAGCTGGACACAGGGATCTTGGAGCCTTCGTACCATCAAAAGTACGACCTGAACTGTAAAATTAACACTATAGAGTTATTTTGAGATTTCATGTTTAAATTCTTTTAACATTGGCTGACTAGTCTCCATCTCGGCAAGAATAGGTTTAATTAAAAGAGAAGACTTAGATGAACTGCTAAGAATGATTTCTGGAAAGTGAAGTTTAGTTATTGCAATGGATTATCATTGAATCTCCCTGCCAGGATCTTTCTTAGAGGTGGAAAGGCTTAATAACTTAATTATCATTAGTAATTATAATAATTTCTTGAAGGCACATTTCAGATTTCTCATTTGTTCCTGAAGGAGGGAGAGTTTTCCTATTTTAAGATATAACACAGCAAGACCAGAGAGACCAGGATCTGGTTAGCCTAATTATTTGGATGTGTTCACTCATGAGCCTGGATTTTATCCTCGTAAGGACAGGTCATTTGACCCTGTAGCTCGGCCAGAGAGAAAACTCATAATCACCTTGCAGTGAGCCCTTTGCCACCAGGAGATGCAAAGGGCAGACGGGAGACATTCACCACAAATGTTCCCATCGAGAAAATAGTTCCTCCCAATTCCCACACATTTGCCAATGAAACAAACACAAGAATTCAAGATCAAATTACATTCCATTTTGTTGAGAAATGACATTTGGTTTGTTCAAATGTGGGGTATATGCCCCCTGCCATTTTCACAGAAATCTTGCCTAATTTTAAGGTAATACCCAACAAGTTTCTGGCAAAGGGCCAGGCTTAGTTCTAGAGAACACTCACAGAGTTATAGTAAACCACCCCATCAGGGGCTGAGAGCCGGTGGGAAGTACCACAGCCATTCAGCGGAGACTCCAAAATGAAGTGGGTGCCATTCATCCTGGCCTTGCAGGTAGGATCCAATAAGGTGAGCTCCATTCCTGAGTAACTGTTGGCCTGAAATAATAACCACCAAAGACATATGAGAGGCAGGTTGGCCCACAGGCAGTCTGCTGCACACAATTAATACATTTTGCCTGATTTCCCAAGTAAAGGTTCTGGAGGCTGGTATTCCCCCTCATCCTTATTTCTTCCCGGACTACAACCTCTCATCAGCTCAACGATTATGTTTGTTGGCCTTGAAAATTCAATAGCAAAATATTGACACACAAGGATCTGGAACCCCCCTCACTGAAAACAACAGGAACCGGGTGAGAATCCCAGCCAAGGGGAAGTGAGCCCATCCAACTGAGAAAACAGTATCAAATCATAGGAGTTCAAAAGTGAAAGAGTTTGCGGGAATAACTAACACAGACTGGGGCAGGTTGGGGAGGAGAAGGCCTTCTCTTCTCTCCTTTAAGGAATGCACTGACCTGGAAAGAATCTTTCTCTATGGCCACGATCATCTTTTCATTGTCACATTTGACTGACAGGGCAACATCCATGCTCCCTTGCACCTCCTCGGGCTCTCTGGGGCCAGGAAACAGCTGTAAGCTGGGAATGGCAGGGTCCTTGGGCCTGGGGATGTCATCTTCTCCCACATCCTCATGGCCTCTCATGGAGATATCAGGAAAAGGAAAGGGGAAACCTCCACTTCGGCCTCCCCCTCCCCGGATGGGTGGGTTCTCCAGGGCAGGCAGGGTGCCAGGGTCCAGCAGGATCCGTAGCTCAGGAGGGATGGTGTGGACTTCCTCATCTCTCATCTCCTCTGGTGGTGACAGAAGGCAAGAAATGATCAGTGGTTGATGTCAGGCCAACACCATCATCATGAGAGGCACAAACAGGAGGAATTAGCACAGAATTGGCGTGTGTAAAATCACCCATAACAAGCAATGCATGAAAGAGATGACATGTCTAGAAGTCTGAATTCTAGTGCTGTTCCTTCTAACTGACTGTGGGCAAATGGCTTACTTCTCTGTGTCTCAGTTTCCCACTTTTTTAAAATTAAGGAGTTTGAATAAATCACATGTTCTCAACTTCGGCTACACACTAAAATCACTTTGGGAACTTAAAAACAAATCCCTATGCCCATGCTGTACCCTAAGTCAATTAAAAATTGGGCTTTCTGGGGTGGTGCTTAATCGTTAACAGGTGTGACTGCAATGTGCAGTCAAGGTTGAGAACTACTGGAAGAAAGGATTTCTGGAGCCTTACAAGCTTTAGGTATCTATCATTTAAGTAAATTATGTGGGAAAATATTCCATTCAAATGCCACTGAAATACTTCCCTTGAATCTAAAGACACTTTAGATAGTTTCTCTATACTTTTCTTGAAACAATATTGGTAGTTTACAATTATTTGTTACCTCCTTTTTGCCACTAAATTCTTACAGGGACCTGGGTGCCCTAGCCTTTGAAAATATAGTCCCAAAGAAGAAAAAACTACATTGGTGTATTTACTCCTTCAAAGGGAGAGACTATTTTCATACAATCAATAGTCAGAATTTTGTCATACCTTCACAACAAATTAGAGAGAAAAAAAAAATTTTTTCCAAGTGTTCACTACCTCTGCTCTTCAGAGCCAACAGAAGTATGTCTCAGTTAACCTACTCAGTGGCCTTTAACTCTCCATCAGTACTATCTTTTTTTAAAGCATGGCACAACTGTAGGGGTCCAACCAAAGTCAAGCTTGGGAAGATTTTTAATTTGTACTTTGTAAAAACTTTCACAAAAAGGCTGTGAGGTAGATCCTATTGCTTCCCCCATTACTGAGGAAGAAACTGAGATGCAGAGGTTAACTGGCTGCACCCTAAACAGCGAATAAATGGCAAAACTGGGACTGACTCCCCTCATTCTGAAGGGAATATCATGAGGTACCACGAGGGATTGATCTAGGGATCAGAAAACCTGGGGTTTGAGTCTTGTTGACTAGAAGACTCTTGAGGAAAACCTCAAGAACTTTCTAAGCCTCTGCTTTCTGCTCCATCAAAGTAGGATAATAACTCCTGCATTTCCTCTGGGTGCGAATAAAAAAAGTATGCATATGAGTCCTTGATACAGTTTTCCCATAAGCAAAAGCTTTTAACCTCAGACCTTTCTCCTTCAGTCTCCACCCCTCAGTATCTCAGTCATAAGTGATTACGAGGTACCTCTGAAAGAATGCAGCTCATTTATCTTTAGTGTAATCACAGTGAAAGTAATCTACAACCTGCTCAACTCCATGTTACTGAAAAATCTGTATTTTAATTACTTTCCTCAAAATAATCTATCACAATTCTCGACAACTTTAAACTATAGTTAAAAAGTAGCCAAACAAGTCATTAAAATTTGCAACAGAAAAACAGCACCATCTATGTTAAAATGAGAGTTCCTCTTTGGAAAGTGCCATCTGAGGGTTATTTTTTACACACTTTTAATGTCATACTTACCATTCTTTGTTTTTTTAAAAGATTTACTTATTTTTATACAAGAGCTGGGGTATAGGCCAGAGGCACGGGAGGGTGGAATGATTCACCAGAGACAGAGCAGGGAGCAGAACAGGCAGATGACAGAAATACACTGTTGAGGGGAGCAGCGGGCGCAACAGGAGAGGTCTGCCTCGCCGTGTGGGATTCTCGCCAGCCAGCGGGGATTAAACCCACACTGCAGAGGCTGCGGACAGCTTCACAGCGCAGCACTCAACCTGCTGCGCCATGGGGGAGGCCCCCTTACCATTATTTTCAAGCCGAAGATGAAATCTATTAGCCACAGGAGCCATGGTGTATGATGTGATGGGACTATAGCCATTGTCCAAAGCCCACTTGATGAGATTTTCTTGGGTTGAAGGGATGTCATCTCTTATTGATTTGGTCATTACCATGGATCTTTCACTCTCTTTACCAAAGCCAATACTGTTGGGAGCCTACAGATAATAGCAAAGTTTCACTTGGGAGTAAAAAAATCACAGTGCTTTAAACAAATATCTGCAGCAAATAGATTCTATATTGTCCATGTGGCAATTTTTTCTTCTTTTCGTCCTTATTTTCCTTGACTAAGAATACTAATGTGAAAATTCTTAACAGCAGATTAAGAGACATTTATTCAGGCTTTTTGGTCATTTCACTTGGCTTGTATATGTTGATAATAGTAATCCAATGACAGCTGAGTAGTCACATACTAGAATACTTAGTGTCTTACTAGGCACACTTACACATACCAAATATGTATACTGACCTTTACCTTATTTTAATTTAAAATTATACATAAAGGATACAGATGTACATATTATGGTACAAAGAAATAGCTATGGTTTGACTTCCTTTATGCTAAATTCTTATATCCTAGATTTAGCTGAAAAAATGCACAAATGAGATATTTCAGTGGGGGGACAATTCCATCTTTGTAACTATTAAATTCCATGTGGAATTTAATACTTCACTTATAAGCAACCAATTTTATACTTCATTTATAACTCATGGTATTTTTAGCAATCCTGTAACAGTATTCATTTGCCAACTCTATTAATTGAATATGGTTAGATTTATGTTCCACATATTAATTAGTTCAAATTACTTTCCCCCTAAGTGCCAGTATCTTATCCAGCAATACAAGTCTTAAAAATTGGTTTTCACTTGGCAAATAGTTCAAAATTAGAGGTAGATGATGATATCTTTTAAGGAAAGTATATAAAAGGATTCTGAGAAACCAATACATGGAAGGTAAATGCCACATTACCTTCTGGCTCCTCTGGCAGTTATCTTGTCAGAGGATGCGGGAGCTAAAAGCTGCAAAGGGGACCCCAAAGGGAAAGCACCATATTTTTCACAACTGGGCTGGAAGGCCTGTTCAGCATGCAGCTTACCCCATTTTCATGCCATATAAAAATCACTTTAATTTCCATGCCCAATTATTTTCTCTTGCATACATGCAGCATTTTTCCTAAATTCCCCATTTGTTTCCCTTTCTGTGTGCCCCAACATGACTAAATATTAATCCTTTCCCACTATAAAACCATAGACAATTCACAGGCTCTAAGTTCTCTTGGCCTTTTCAGTTGTGAGATACTGGCTAAGGACACACATTTTCAATTTAAGGCTTACCAGGATCTCACCCAGTATAATTTTCTGTTACCCAAACTGCCTATCTGAGGAAAAACTGCCAGACAGAGACACAATCACGCATGCAAAGGAACCAGACAAGAGCTTTCACCAAATTCTGGAGCCATTTGCAAAATAAGTTCAGTTGCATAGGTGCTGATTATTTTAGTTCTTATTCTGATTTAGATCCTTGGGAGAAGAAAGGGTTAATTAAAAAAAGAAAACTAAAATAAGGTAAAGAAGGACACAATTTGTTCTTAGAACTGTGTATTCATTTAGTCAACAGCAGTTTCTTAGGCACAGCTTCCTCCAGCCTTTCAAAGCAGCGTGTCGTTTAGATTGGCCCGAGTTGTAACACTGGCCTAAACAATACTCTTGGCCTCATCTGCCCTCGTCTTTCATGTTGTTGGACAGCTGAGAAAATACTGTACACTCAGAATACTCTCATTGTAATTGCCACCTGTCCTTTGTACCAATATGAAATGACTTGTTTACACCTTTCCACATTAAATCGAGGAGCTGTCAGTACAACTCATTAATTCTGCCTCAGCTCTTTCAAGGCTGGAAAGCGATCTACATATTTGTGAAGCAGCAAGGCTTGGGAAGATGGCAGGCAAGGTGGTTCCAGCAATGAGGGAAATCCTCACTCTGTATTTCTGAGGGTCCCCAGATTTTTCCAAGGTCTCAGTGTAATTACTGCAGAAAGAGCTGAAGGGGGTCTCCAAATATCACCACCATCTTTCCAGTGATGATATCATGAATGATGAGGAATTAGGTAGAGTCTAGCACCTCTCCCCCCAACCCTGTGCCCCCACTGCCAACACACATTTGCATCAGAACTGCTGGTGGGGGAAGGAGGGGGCACCTGAAGGAGGGGTGGCCAGAGAGTACAGTGCATCCCACTGGGATTAAAGCGTGTTTTTTTCTTAGAGCAAGCTGGCTATTGCCAACCTGGAAGGTCTGAGGCCACATGAATTAGTACAACAGGAAATTTCTAACAAGTTTCCCCCATCTATTCTTTTATGTTTTGAAGTTCTTCCAAATGTGATTATGCATAGTCCATAAGGGGCCTGAAGAAAAAGCCAGAATTGGGCATGTCAAGGTGAACCTCTCTTATATTCCCCTTTGTGCTCACTACACAGTCCTCTGAGTCCCACTGAACCATTCTGGCATTTGGAGGGCACATTCGGTCCCACCCCCAGCATATACACATAAACGACCCAGGTTTAAGTGTACTTTAAATGTAGCCCATCAAGTTCCTTATAATTCCTTTAGTTGGAAATTTTCTTTGTCTTCCCTTTGTTTAGATATTCCTGAAGACAAACATGTAAAGAGCTGCTTATAGAAGGATATCAAGCCCCCTTCTTATGGCAGGCACTGTGCTAGCAGCACATTATCTTTATTTCTCCTCCCAAATATAAGGAGATGGGCATTACTATTTCTTTGTTAGAGGAGAACCTGAGACTCACTGCAGTTAAATAACACAGATAGCTGAGAACTCACCCGTGCAGGCGCAGGCAGAGTGCTTTAGGACTATCCACAGACCCTTAACGAATATTTTTTGAATGAATGAATGAACAAATGAACTCTGCTAAGTAACTCTAACTCTCAAGATGAGTGTGTCAGCATACCCATTTCACAGGAGAGGACACAGACTCAGGGTTCAATTGGATTGCCCAACAGCAACTGAGGTGAATGCCAACTGGAGATGGGTTTTGAACACAGCCCTGTCTGGCACCAGAGTTGGGATTCTTTCCTCTCTATCTCAGTGTCCCCAAAGGAAATACTAGAAATAGGTCACTGAACCACTTTCCTCTTTCCAAGCACAAACTTATACCTTTTTTGAGCAGGTACCTTACCCTCAAAGCACAGTCAGAACTCACATTTGAGACGGAGAATAAAAAATTACAAAGCATGAAACTGATTGGGGGAATAAAAAAGAAGATTGTGAAACATTACCTAATTGTTTAGTAATGTTGTCATGCATTGTCCAAAATTGGCCTGGAACAGGAGTCCAGCCAAGGAGAGGAATATAAACAAATCTCACGCTGGGGATGAGCAATCTCATTTCTAGCCTTTCCGATGCTCTGAGAAGTGGGGACATTCAAAGAGAACTCCAGGACTGCCGTGGACCAGGGAAAGAGCCATGTAAGGGTCAGGCCCAAAAGAACATTTACACAAGAACTCCGGCAGGGAATTAAAATGTACCGTATGTTTTTCCCTTTCAAAGCATAATTCCCTTTCCTGTTTTTGTTATTCTGAAATTAAAAACATTTGCTTGGTGTGCCAGGCAGCAAAGGCTGCAGACACCCCAGGTCACCAACAGCCCTCATGCCCTGCCAGAGAGGGCAATCAAAACATCTCTGACTTCAGAAAGACACGGCTGGCTTTTGTGCTTAACACCAAATTAATGTATCACCATTATATGTGATGGCTTATTGGGATCCTCTCAAAGTTTTAAAAAAAGAAAGAAACCACAGGAACCAGCAGTGATTACTTTAAAATTCAGATGTGTGCACTTGGCTTTCTGGCTGCCGCTGGTGGGGGCCTGGCCATGATGTTGCCTAGGGGACTGTTGGCCTTGTTCACCGCTGTACCACACAGAAAGTGCCATGAATGAATAATACTCAAACCAAAGGCTTTGTTTGTTTATGTTATGAAAACATAAAACCTGCCCCAATGGAGTCAATGCAGGTGCTGAAAGCAGAACCGGTCACAATTTTTTTTTAAAAGATAACCAAAAAAAAAATGAGCCTACGACAGAAAGAGATGGCTAAAGAGCTCATTATCACCTTTAAAATGATCTTCATTAAAAATGTGGGATTTTTTTCCCTTTAATGTTGAATATAATTCACTCTTCCTAAAGGTATTTGAAAAAGACTCTTTTACCACATTTGAACATTCAACTCGTCAGGAAACTGGCTGCTTTTTGCCTATCATGACAACCAGTTAGGCTCTGAGGTATGTCTCCTTCATGAAGCACAATGCTCAGGAAAATGGCCAGGGTATACTTTCCCTGCATCATTTCACTAAACCCTCCAATACTGTGATTCTTTTACCAGTGTTTCATCCTTAGAAGGAAGAAGCAAGCCAAAGGGCATGCTAATATGACATATTTATTTCAAAAGGAAAGGCTGACAGTGTGGGCCTACCTAATTTCCCACACCCTAAATACCTGGCCCAAAGTGAGAGCTAATACTCAGGATCATGACATCACTCAGGCCCTCACAGGGCTGTTAACAATGAAAGGCTTGTGTTCACTATTTCAGACTTGCTATGGCTAATACATTTTCATTTACACAAATGAAGCAACTGGGGTCCACAGAGGTTAAGGGTGTTGCCCACAGTGACAGTTTGTAAATGGCAGATTCTGGACCCAAATCCTAATTTGTCTTGACCCAAAAGACCATGCTTTTAACTACCACACTGCCCACCTTGTCAGGAGAAGTTAAGGAGCAGTCAATTCTACAAAGTGAAAAATACTTGAGAGCCCAGACAGAGAGTTCAAAGGTGCAGAAACTTTACAAAAATAACATTACAAGCACAGCTTAAATGATTACCATTCATCAAAACAAAGAAATGCTCAACCAACTTACAATCACTTTCAGGTTTCCCTTAACATCGAAAGATTTGATCACCCAGTTGACAGACTTTTTGCACTTCAAGATCAGGATGAGATTTTTGACCACCTCAGGATCTTTTCGAGAAGGTCTTATGTCAATTATTATGTCCACCTGGAAAGCACTGTGAGTGGAAAACAAAGGCGGAGTTAGGACCCAAAAGAATGCCAGCAAGTTGCAACTATCTCCCCTCTTCCAAGTCTTCGCATTTCCACTGTCTGGCCAGTTGATTAAAAAGCTGGAGCAGATCCCAGGCCAGTGACATGTGCAAAACACATTGTTAGTACACACACAACAAATGACTTTACATAATAGAAAAATACGCCTGTTGATAATTAGTCCCTAAAATTTTTCTTCTTAGGGGGAAAAAAAAAGTGGTTACTTAAAGTAGTCACTGTTTGCAATGAACTTGAACAACCAGAACAGTTCACTCTAGAAGGAGAAATGTTGCTTTTTCAATCTTCAACTCCTTCAATGTATAATTTTCCAACCTGCTACACGCTCAGCTATATGGGTAGGGGGTGCAGCGGGGAGGGAGGCATGGCAATAAAAAAAAAAAAAAAAGAAAGAAAACTTCAGAATAAAATAAGAGGCAAAAGGTTGGAGAATTTCTTAACTTATATAAGGTTTGCTTAAGCCATTAACATCTGCTACAAAATCCTATCTGTACTTACTTGCCCAAGCTTCTGGATATAGAGTTATTAAAATAAAGAAAACAGATGGTCAACCAAGTGATTACTGGAAAATTGATGAACACAACCTAAACTTCTAAGAATTCCATATAAAAGAGAATTTTTATTGACCAAACAATAACATCTCTGTCATTCTGAATTTAAAGGCAAGTCTTTCTTTCTAGGTTGGTTTTACACACTGGTAAAGCATAAAATGAATGATACACTCCAATGAAGCCTGAAGCTTAGTATCTAAGCACATTTGCCAGATCATTTCTACCCCCGTTCGCTTTTCTTTTTCTATGTAATTCATGATGTAGGACTGAATGGACTCTTACCCAATCTTACTGATGTGCAGTTTATTCACTTTTGAAATTAAACTTGATTAAAATTTTAACTTTGGAATCCTTATACAAAATAAATTTACATTTGTAAGTCCCCATCCACGAAAGATAAAGACTAAAGTAGAAGAATGGCCTATTTTCTGGCCCCTATTTCTTGTTTTAATTCCCTGATCATTCTTGATAGGGAGAGTTAATTTCCAATTCCATGAGCAGGAAGCTGAGGGCGGGAGAGAGAGAACAAGAACAGGAGGAAGAGGAAAGTTGTACCTAATGGCTATATAGTGTGTCACCACCATGAAGGGCCTCTTCCCCACACACTTTCTCTCTCTCTTTCTCTCATACACACACACACACACACACACACACACAGATCTTTATAATAGTTACGCAGACTCTCAACAGAACTTTACTAAAAACAGAGTATCATTAAAACGATTATGTTAATAAGGCACATTGTGTAATTTTCTTATTAGGGAAAATCTCAATCAAGGGGGATAATAATGGAGCAAGAGTGACTGTGTCCTCTAATTAGTACCCAGAAGCTTAAAACAGGCTACAGGAAATCAGCTGGAATACAGACCATTTAGAGAGAGATGCAGAAAATAAAACATACCATCAGTGCCTTATTCCTTCCTTCAAAGCTTCCCTGAACCACAGAAGCATGGATGGCTTGACCCCACTGCACAGGGGAGGGCGACTCCTCTCCATGCCTTGAGTCAAGATATATCTTTACTTTCACCTCTTCTCAGCTCAGAACACACACTCACACTCACATACTCACCTGTAGGGGTTCGAGTTGGGGGTGATTAACTCAATGATGTGCACTTCCTTATCCTGGGGCTGGTTGGAGATGACACACCCTTCTGCCGCTTTGGGCTGAAGATACTCAGCAAGGTAATTGAGGGACAGAAAATTCTTCCCTATGGTACATGTGGGAGGAAACACTTGATCTGGAAGGAAAGAAGCACAGGACAATCTGTTAAATCACTGAGCTGTGGTAGTAGCCAGACTGGAAGGAAAGAAGGTGAGGTGGTATTGAGTAAGCACAGGACACAAGGACCCTTGACCACTGCTCTGAAATGCCTCCCCTTAGGGTCACCAGTGATCCCCTGGCTGACAACCCAGAGGCCTCTTGTTGTCTAAATTGTCTTCTTTCTTGTTTAATGTGATACTTCTTTGTCCTCATCTATTTCCTCTGACTTATCTTTCAGCTTCTTTCATGGGCTCCTTGTCCTCTGCTCATCTGCTACTCACTAGTGGTCCTTAACCTTTGACGCACATCAGAAGCCATCTGTTTGTTCCCATCCCAGAGAGCATGACTCAGGAGATCTGGAGGGGAACGGGGTACCTAAACAGCTTTTTTTTTTTTTTAAGTTCCACAGTTGATCCAATGCTAAGCAACTTGGTTCTGTCCTCAATCCTCTTTCTGTCTGCTGTTCTTCCTAGATGATGCCAATCACTCCTATCTTCAACTTTTACCTGCATCATCAACTTGGACCTCCTTCTCTGTGCTGCAGACTGTACTGTCACCAGTCTACCAAGCACCTCCCACCTACAAATCCAGAAGTTATTTCACAGTCAGCATACGCAACACTGAATCCAATGATCCAACCTAGCCCCAAATATGCTCCTCCTCGAACATTTGCTATTTCAATTAAAAGAAGAATCAGCACCTGATTAATTCTCTGGCCCACCATGTAGAATGAATCATTGCTGTATTTATTCCTTACAGCACTTTATACTCTTACAGACTGAGGTAGGAATTTAGGGTAAACTGTAAGGAATTTAGGGTAAATTTTTACTTTTTCTTACCATCTTGTCACAGACTATTACTGTTTATATGGCACTTTACAGTTTGTAAGGTGCTTTCAAACACATCTCATCCTATTGAGGGCTGCTTATCACCTCTATCAGGGACAGTGACGCAAGCAACCAGTGTGAAGATGCTCCCCCAACCACATATGCCGTTTGCACAGCATTGTGGCTGATGAGATTTCCATCCAGTGGTTTAAATGTTTAAACAGAACTTGAACTACTGGCAGTATGACAGCTGGGAGCAGTGTCAAGGAAGTTCTAGGTGCAGCAAACTTTTTTCAAAAGGGGTAATTAATCAGAACCCTGGCATTTTAATGAAACAGACTTCTGCATTTTTCATTTAATAGACAGGATGCCAGGGTTCAAATCCATATGCAAGTCTCACTCAGGAGATTGGGTTGCCCTGCCTCTACCCCCTCCCAAATTGTGCAACCTTCCCTGGGCTGAAATCCACGGCACACACTGTGGTGTCAGACCCTGCACACCTGGACACCCTCAGGGACACCCCTAGATAAGGAGCTCACTAGGCCCCTATCTGCAGGCTTGTGGCAAGAGAGTACTGGCTCTGCACTCTGCATGCTTCTCTGAGACCCCTCAGCAAGAAGTGGCCAGGGCTCCGCCAACTGGAGCAGCCTCCCCTGTACATCTGCTGAAGGTTTTGCCAGAAGAGCAGATGAGGAATGCACATTCTACAGCTGCAGATGCCTCCCCCAGATCACAGGATGGAAAATGATATTGGGGTGGCCAAGGCTGAAATTTAATCAAGAATCAGAAAGTGTGTGTGTGAGCCAGGGAGTGGCTCTATGGATCTCAGGAGACTAGGACCCTCTGGGGGCACTGGCCTGTCTCTGCAGTTCACAGGTGTACTGCCTAGTGTGCATCTGGCCAACAGCAGATACCTGGCATAGGTTTCTTGAATCAACAGTGATGAGATGTGAGACAAAGAAGGAAAAAACTCATCCAGTTGTGACCCTCCTAAGCCACTAAGAAAGATCTAATTGTTTAAAAGCTGCTGTTATTAAGAGCTCAAGTCCCATAAGCCATTGTCATGAAATTTTGGTCTGATCACTTTTGGGGGTGGGGGATGGTGTGTGTGTGTGTGTGTGTGTGTGTGTGTTTCCCTCCTCCTTCCCCCACCCCCCAAATCCCCAAACGACCTGCTGCATGCCTGGCATCAAAACTCACACCAACTGCCAAGTAGAAAGGAAACCACAAAGGGGAATCCCTGGGTAGAAACCTGGCAAGTTTGGGGGGAAAAAGTCACATGCTTGTTTGTATTTTAGGAAAGGGTTGACAAATTACTTTGAAACCTACAGTGATATACTCCAAGAGCCTGGAAGGTAATGCAAATTCCTCTTTTTCCTGCTATAGAAACTGAGGCTCCAGTGATAAATCAAGAGTGTTGTTTGATGCCTCCAAGTTAATGTAACCAGAGGGGATAATAAGCAAAACTCCTCAACCACTGTGAGGGTACAGTCTCCAAGTTATGAGGGTTTCAATTAGGATTTTTGAACTTAACTATGGCAGGAAAGCCACGGGAATTCAGTGGACACCTGCGTCTGACACTCTTGTGATGCTGGGTGGCGGCAGAAAGCCACAGCAGCGAGGCAGCATTTCAAGTTATGATATATTTATCTTATGATGAGTTTATTAGTAATAACCCTACTCTTAGTGAGGAAGATCTATATAGGTTAGGGTATTGGAATCACTAGAGTTTCTGATTTAGTTGGTCTGGGTGGGCCCAAGAACTGATGTTTGTAACAAGTTCCCAGGTGATGAGGTAGCTGCTGAGACAGGGACACTTTGAGAATCACTGAGGAGATAAAAAGAAGAGGCTTGTGGCCCAGGACCTGGTACAGGCTGGGAAGAGGCAGATCAAGTTCTCAGAAGCCAGAGGATGAAGCCACCTCAGTAGTCTTAACCATAGTGATAAGTAACAATACCGTGGTCCACAGGCCTTATCAAGGATCCTCTCTTTCCCCAACTGCTCCCTCCACAGTGACTTTTTCCCAACTGGTAGCTGGAGTCAAGATTCAAGGACTCTAAAGCTATTACCAAAGAGTTAAAAAGTTCTTATTGAACTGGACCAAGGTTCCCCAACCCAGTGTGTGGCCTTGGGAGAGTCATTAAACCCCTCAGGAGAGGTGGCTCCTTTGTGGAGAAGCTCACACACTATCTAGATTGGAACCCAATATTCTAATTGTTACCATAATACATTCTCGCACTTTAACAAATTCCAAGGGGGCAATCAACATTCCTTCATGCTGCTAGAATTCTGCTTCAGCAACGCAGATCGTTGGCCAGGGCTCAAAACCCTTATAAAAAGAGATTGTTCATTTTATCCCAATGGGACTTGATCTCTATTATTAGCTACCTGACTAACAGGAGAGATTAGTAACAATGTCAACTTTTTGAAATCAACTCCCATCTAAATCCCCTCCTCCCTCTGCTCCACTAATAAGTCTTTTCAACTAGGTGGCCTGCTTTCATTTTTAGGTTTTGCTTACTTGGCTAAGACTTATAATACAGCATCAGGCAAAAAGCATTAGACTCAAGATTCAGGAAACCTGGGTTTGAGTTCTGGCTTTGCTGTAACCAAGTAACATGGATTTGAGCAAGTCAGCTTAACCTCCATCAGCAACTCCATAAAATGGTGGAAAGAATGATTACCCCTGGTATTACTGATGGGGTAAGGAAGGGTGTGTGTAAAAGTACCTGTTATGGGCTCACCTAGTACACACAACATCACTGTCCACCTTCCCTGCATCTGTCAAGCAGCCCTTATCCAAACAAGGGATTCGAATAAGCATTCAACAACTCACCCACTACTGCCAAGCTCTGTAGAGGAGGTGGTAACAGCTACAGAACTCAACAGAAAGCACATGGATGATGAAGGCCTGAAATGCAGTTTTCATACGAGCAGCTGACAATAACAAGGACACATTCACGAGAGTTGTTCTTTCTAGTAACTTATGGGGGCTCCAAAGAGATTCCACTTAAAAATGATGATGAAAGGAGTTATAAAAAAAATACTCTTTCAAAATTGAGTCACTGGATATTTATAGCCCTCTTAAGGCAAGGAAAGTAAAAGAGGGTAATCTCTTGCCAAGGCCGTACAATTCTTCTCTCCAACAATTTGTCCCCGTCATGGGCATTGGTATTAAAAATATATTTAAATACATTTCCTCTGCCATTGTCCAAAATTTAATTGATGCCTCCGGACCATAAAATGACACTGACTTCAAACGCTTACACAATAATAGGTAAGAGGAAGCCCTAACTGCTGACCCATCCTGCCAACCCCACCTTCACCCATCAGCTATCACCTCCTTCCCATACCCTCAGCTTCTCCACCTCCACTCACTTCCAGCTTCTGTGCATGCATGTCTTCTGACTCCCACACGATTACCTCCCCTCTATCACCAGGTTATTCTCTCATTTCCTATGTGGCCATTAGAGTCCTGCTTCCTCAGAAGAAAAAAAGAGGAGGGAGGGAAACCCCACTGAGCCCCCAGGTCCCTGACAGCTCCAAAATCCTGCAATTCAGTGATTTCTTGTCCTAACCATCTGGTCGCAGAAAAGAAAACAACGGACTGTCATAAATCAGTCATTAATTAAAACCACATAAGATTTACCTTCCCCCACTTTAATATAAATGTTTCTTGCTATCTTGAGTTCAGTGAATGAAGTGACTGCTCCATACTCCTTTCGAGCCCAATTTAACAGATGTTCGTTTTCATGTGGGAAGAGCCTTTCTTCTGTTTCTGCTGACAAGGAGAAGTTTCCTGATGAAAATTGGACCACAGAACCCTCAGACACCTAGAGGAAATAAAATTTCATATTTAATGGGCTACACTCACTCGGAGCAGAATCATAATTAGAGAAAGCACTTATCAAGCAACTAATGGGTATTTGTCAATCCAAATTCTTCCATTCTTTCATACAACTGATTCAAGAAATAATTCCAAGACTACTTCTCCCAGGTAATGACAAACCATCCAAGAGTGTGCTGATCCCTTTGAATTTTCAAAGAACTTTGTGATGAGAGAAGCAGGGGACATTGTGAGTAACCATAAGAATTATCACTGCTCTTTCCAGGTGTGTATATTAAATCGGCTTTGATTATGTCAGCTGAATGTGAAGGCCACCCTCCCAAGTAGTGTGTTTCAGGTCAAGTGGGAAACCTGTGAGTGTTTGCAAGGACTCACAATGGGCTTTGCGATAGGGGCAAGGAATCCCAAAGGCTTGCTAACATCTGAACTTGACTTCCAGGTTTCCCACAGCAGCAGCAACTGCTGACAGTCACTACCACACAGCAAGACTCCCCTGACTTTATGTTCTCTGGAGCACAGATAAAATGAATGGCCAGAGGTTGCCGGTCTTCTACCACATTACACCACTTCCAGGCAATGAGATGAATGTGTATTATAGTTTATTTTGTAAGACCCCCAAATTCCCATAAATGATAAAAAGGCCGTTAGAGAGATCCTCGTAAAACTTTTGGGATGATTCATGCAAGCCCCACATTCTTACTGAATTCATGTAGACCATCACTGACCTAGCACATCATGGTATACATAATTAACACATACAACACGAATCATCTTGCTGCTGTACTCTAATCCAATTTGGTTGCCGGTGACAATATGCACATTGTCTTTATTGACCAGCATTTATAAAATAACTGATTTTACTAATGTCAGGGTGAAAACTAAAATTGCGAGCAAAAAGTCTCCCACATTCACAATTCATAAAACTATAAATGTCCCATATTAAGTTTCACACTCATTATCATTAATTATAGGCAAGCTGTTTTGGAAATCAGTTGAAGGAAGGGATTTTGCTTATCCCTTACACATTTTTCAGCCCTAACACACAAAATAGCACTTATCCTAACTGTTACGTTAGGCATTCATATTTTCTGTTCAGTTAATACATGCATCCACTTGTTTAATGCTGGCAAAGAAATACTCCACCAAATTGATCCCATGACCACTAATGCTGTGGTCTCCCACTTGGCTGAAAATCAGGAAAACCTAAAGAGCTTCAAATTCCGAGGTGCAGGCCTTTTGGGACCAGGCATCAGCATTTTTGTAAGTTCCTGGGGAGATTCCATTGTGCATTCAGGGTTGAGGGGGACTCCTACCTTCCTGGGTACCTGGTGATCTATAGTTTGAAAAGCACTGTCTTAGGACAGGGCCCAGGATGGGGCACAGCAAAGCTTTCACTACACCAGTGGCTCCTAACCAGGGGTGATTTTGTCCCACAGAGTACATCTGGCAGTGTGGACTGCCAAATGCTATTAACTGTCACAAAGCACAAGTCAGACCCCCCCAAAAAGGAATTATCCCTAATGTCAATAGCACAGTGACTGAGCAACCCTGGTCTACACTTTGGACTGACTGAAGGTTACTGCTACCCAAACCTCTACTAGACCCCAAAATAACAGCCCTTTCTGTGCTAGAAAATTGGGCTGTTTAATCCACAATAAAGAAGAAAAGTACCTTTCTGCTTTGTATTGACCCGGGAGGCCCAGAACTAATCATTACTAATCTGGGTGTAAACTGTGAGCATTAGTAACAGTTACCATTTATTGGAAACCTACTGTGCAACAGGCACTATGAAGTACACCTAGTGTGGTAATGACATTGCTAAATGCCCCAATACCAGTTATAAGCAAATCCAGGGGGTAGGTGTAGCTTTGCTCTTGGATGGACATCACCTGCTCCAGCCACTCCTGAGCCACTTACCTGCCAGGAAACCACCAGCAGTCGGGGCCTAAGTCCTCCAAGTCTTAGCTACTCACCAACACTGGACTTCAAACAACACTTATCAGTTTTCTGACTTTAACACTACAGTAAAATCATCTTTTCACTGAAAACTACTTGTGCTAAAAACTCATTTTTATCAAGCCTGTCACCAAAAAAATCCCACAACAGTCCAAAGGCCTCTGTCCACTGCCAGCACAGTGAATGTTTAGGCAAGCATCCCTGGACGTTCTGCTTCTTTTGTTCTCATTTGTATTATATTCATAAAATAAAACATTTGGGTTTTAAAAACATAAGACATAGAGTACTTTTTTTCCCCAGCGTGGAGGGTTGGATATTTTACCCTGGTGCGTTCAAGAGGCAAGAATGCAAACATAGTAAAGAAGAGAGGACTGGAAACAACTTCAGCTTGTATACTGAAGTAAATGAAAAGTGAAAGGCGAATATTGCTGATTCTTCTAGAAGGAGCAACTCCCAGGTGACCCCTCCATGCACCAGCAACCCTGTTCAAGCCCCTCTTCTCCCAGTAGCAACAAGACCCATACACTCTGGGCTGAGGAATTTGGAAAAAGAGTTAACTGCCACTCCTCAGGCACATTCCAATAAGAAGAAAGCAAAGCTGCCAGAGGCAGTGAAGTGTCCCTGACTGCAGGTCAGTGGAAATTTTCTGCTATAGCAAGGGATGAGTCAGCAGTCCCCCTGATCGCCAGCTCTACTGGCTTTGATAAAGCTTGACACCAACACCACCCTCCCCACAGCCCCATCAAAGGTATTGTTATTTCTATCTTATCCTCAGGATGACGTGTGAGGCAGGTTACTATGATTTCCAGGGTAGAGAGAGAATCCTCAAAAAGCTAATGACCTACCCCAGGTAAGAGAATCAACACCGGGACATGAGCAGGAGACTTCTGACCCCTGTCATAGCTGGCCCGTGCTTGAACTCTTCTAGAGACCTCACTAGCCCCTAAAGCAGATTTCTGTCCTTACTTTCCAACCGTAAGATTTGCCATCCATCCACTTATCTGAGTTGTGCCTTCCGGATTAAGAGAATTCCTTGCTCTTTCTTCTACAAGACAGACTTCAAATATTTGACTATGTCATTTCTTCAAACAATCCACCCAGATGCCTCAGTCTTTCCCAGACACCAGGACTGTTGGATCTTGTCTATCAAAGTCTCTGAAATGTGGTACTTAGAACAAGACCCAGGACCCTGGGTATGGTCTGACAAATGTACTATGATGGTTAATTTTGCGTGTCAACTTCACTATGCTACCAGGGTACACAGAAACTTGGTTACATATTATTCTAATAATTTCTATGAAGGGGTTTTGGATGAGATTAGCATTTAAATCAGCAGACTAAGCAAAACAGATCATCCTCCCTAATGTGGGTGGGTCACATCCAATCAGTGAAGGCCTAAATAGAACAAAAGGCTGACCCTCCCCCAAGATAGAATTTTCCACTGATGGCCTTCAGAGGACACAAATTTCATGGTCTGCAGTAGCCAAGTGGACTGCAGACTCAAACTGAAACATGAGCTTTGCAGATTTTGGACTTACTGGCCCATATAATTTTGTGACCTAATTCCTTACAATAAATCTCTTTCTATATAAATGTGGACCAAGATCACACTAGCTTTGGGCCTCCCTGGTGGCACAGGGGTTAAAGTCTCAGTACTATCAAGCTATCTCCAGCCACTGCAGTATGAGTTTGATGCCCAGCCAGGGAACTAACCCATATGACACAGCAGACCTCTCCTGTCTCACCTGCTGCTCCCCTCAGCAGTGTATTTTAGTCAGTCCACCTGTTCTGTTCCCCACTCTGGTGAATCCTCTCACCCCCCGCAACTCTGTCCTATACCCCAGTTCTTGTATGCATAAATAAATAAAATAAATCTTTTAAAAAATTACATTTATTTAAAAAAAAATCATACTAGCTTATATATCAGCTGAACCTTGCTATCATCTCATGTTAATTTGTAAACACTCATCCACAAAATATTTATTGAGTGCCCACCTACTGTGTGCCAGGCATGGTTCTAGTTGCTGGGTATGTAATACAGGAGGTGACAGACAAAATTCTCTGTGTAGAACTTACAATCTAGTATGGAAGTCAGAGGAGCAAAAGAAATAAAATATATAATATGGCAATACATGCCATGGCAAAATAAATTAAAAGAAAAGTGGTACTATACTTTTGAAAGCTGCGATGGAGAAAGTTTAACTGAGAAAGTCGCTGAGCAGTTGAAGACCTAAAGGAATAAGCCATGGAGACATCAAGGACAAGAACTCAGTTAAAACAGCAGCGCAGGGAAGGGAAAGCAAGGAGACAGTGTGGCTGGAGCGCAGGAATGAGCGGGTAGGGGTGGGCTAAGATCAGAGAGGTCACAGAGGACACCAGTAGGTCCAACAGGACCTTGCAGACCATCAGTAAGGACTGTGGTATTTCATTTGGGTAAAGACACGCTACTGTGAGTTCATTCAAATATCTAATAAATGTTTTAATGGGATCAATCTGGCTGCTATGCCTAATTTAGACTGAAGGGAAACCAAGAACAGAAGACTAGCAGTTACTTCTGGAATAATCCAGAGGAGTGATGATGGCAGCTCATACAAGGGTGGTGGTGGCAGCTCATACAAAGTGATGGTGGAAGTGACAGTACCTCAATCCCCAGGTCTTTATTTTTAACAGGTGGAGGCTCTCTGCAACCCTTGGAAGATTCTTTAAGTACAAACTCTTATATTTATTATTGGGCCTACATTTCAAGTCTGTAGAGATCATAAAGCCTCATTGTTAAGCTGTCAATATCTCTATATTTCCTACTAGTATCTTTTACACATTCATCTAGAAGATAAACAAGACGTGGCCAAGGTCCATGACTCATAGGCACACTCCCATGTGACTACAGTGCTTGCTGGGGCCTCGGTGGTTCACAGCTGCAGAGCAACCCTACAGAACTGCCTTCATTTTTGTCATAAGGACATCAAGACCTGTCACGAACCCTACTGAAGTAAAGACATGATACACCCATGCCATTTCTCCTCTCCACCC